AAAGAGATGTCTGGGCCTCCCTGCTCCAGCTGAAAGTTTACATTCAGCCTTTGGATCTAGTGGTAGATAAAATTGCTCCCTCCACCCGCCAAGATCCGTCACTCTGCATTGTTTGGTACAAGCAAAAATAAAAAATGCAAAACCTCCCTCGTTCCTTCTACACAGTGTAGCTCATACTCACTTGAATATCTTGCACCAAAAACATTAAGGTTTATGTACCCGTTAAATTCCAGTCCAGAAAAATGCCTCATCTTGAAAACTACAAGCATTAATTACTGATATTCTTCAGCGATGGAGGACAACAGTGTTCCGCTTGGTTACCTTTTTTGTATATCTACACCCTCCATCATTTTCTTGGAAAATTTTGAGGTAAATGTGTTTTTAGGAGAACAGGCAGAGTTTGTGTGTCTTTGGATGTGACTGTGTGATGTTTGAGCCCTTTGGGTGTTGAGTGCACGCACAAATAGATACTAATCTAATCTCATCGGGCTAAAATTAGCGTGTTGAGGATGCACGGACAGCAGATCGCCTCAGGTCAGGCTGAGATGATCGGAGCTCTGCAGCTGTTTGCCTGATTAAAAAAAAACCTCACAGATGGCATCAGAAGCAGGAGGGGAATATAACCAGAGCTCACTGCTTTGGGTTTGAATAGCTGAAGTCAAATGAAAGAATATAACATCTGTCAGAACGGAACAGAGTCCACGATACTAAAAACTCCAAAAAGACTTTAAATCTAAATATTTGTTTCTCAGACCTGCTACAAAGCTTCCTACTGCTTTTAAGGAACTAAAATTCAATCAGAACTGATTATCTGTGTTACATAACTTGGATTATTTTTCTTCCCTCAGCTCATTAAATCATAATGAACTGAAAATCACACGTTCGTTTGACACATCCGACAGTTTTTGACATTTGACGCTGCAGTTTTGCTTGGTCTTGTGTGACCAGCTGGCTGTAGTGTTTATGTACTGTAGGTGAAAAGACAGACACAGATACACTTGTACTTGTACAAAGTTACATATTTGTCACAGCTGAACATCAAGTGTCAGAAACTGTGCCTGTTAGTAAAAGACATAATTTTTCTTTATATCCCCTAAACCTTGCAAAGACTATTTTATTTATTTCTACTATGAAGATTAAGATGCCACTTTACTGCTGCTTCACAGCTTTTTGAACTAATTAAGATGTATTTATCTTGTATCTTGAGAAATAAATGAAAATATTTGTTGTTTTTATTGGCTTTTCTTGCTTTGACTTGTATGAAATATAACTTGAGTTGTTCACAAATTTTAGAAAACTGCTATAATCCATTAAAAATGAACTTTTTCAGTGATTTTAGGTCCTGGAAAACCAGTAATTACTGTTAAAACAAATGTATTAAAGTTGAAAAATACAAATCTAGTGACTACCTGCAACCTGAACCACCTAAATGCTGCAGAGAACAATTGTGCTTTTGCGTGTATCTGTGTGCATTTTTGTTTGTTTGTTTGTTTGTTTGTTTGTTTGTTTGTTACCAAATTGCCTGGACAAACTTAATACATTTTGTCAGAAGCATTTGTTGTATAAACATCTACAACTCTTTAACCTTTGGAGCCAACCCGATGCAAGATGGTTACCAACTTAACATAAACAAAAATGGTTGCGTTAGTGGATTTTACAGGTTTTGAGCCCAAATGCAATTTGATAGTAACTGAGAGTCATTTCCATCGCATATTCTGAGCTTCACAGCCACGAGCTTACGCAGAACGTTATTTTAAAGGTTTGACGAAAACAAGCACAAATATTTTGACATCTCGCAACATAAAGTTTAAAAATCTGGCGTGTGGTGGACAATATGCATTACTTTGCACTGGTGTTTGATGTTGAAGACGTGGTGAAGCACTTGTTAGGAACCTGAGTTTGAGCCCCACGATGAGACGCATTATCATTTATGATAACTCATCTCAGCTTAATGCAAAAGTGTATTTGACGTGTAAAACGGGGTCGGCAACATTTCGTTTCCACATAGCAAAATTGAGTTGTTAAAAGCAATCAAAGGGCAGTATGGTGAATTGGAAAATAAATTTTCTTAAAGAAAGATCATCTAGATTCTAGATTGTCCTCCAGGGTTTTTCTTATTTTAGCGTAAGCAAGCTTAGTAAAAAATATCCATCCATCCATTATCTTTACCCGCTTCTTCTTTTTCGGGTCACAGGGTCACAGGTGTCCATATCCAGCCATCATTGTTTGAGAGGTGGGGTACACCCTAGACAGATCTCCAGTCCATCACAGAGTCACAGAGACAAATGAGACAAAAAAAACCATTCACTCCCTCACTCACACCTTGGGACAATTTAGAGTTACCAATCAGCCTAAAAATGTTTCCCCAATATCCTCTAGGAATACAGTATAAGATGAACTTTCTATAAACTGGCTCTTGTTGTCACGCTCATTGTTCTCTGTCACCTGCCACGCCCACTTCCCCACAGCTCATCAGCGTTCATGCCCCGCACCTGCTCCTCACCCTATTTAAGAGGCCCGTTCACTACTAACCTTTGCCAGATTATCGTACCATTCTTGGTATCAGATATCCAGCCATTTTGTTATTATTTACACCTGAAGTTCTTGTCTTGACATCATGCCTTGTCTTGTGGATTCGACCTCACGCCTCGTCTTTAAGATTTACCACTCTGCCTGCTCTTCATCTGATTCTGTTCTGCCTATCTGACCCTGGTAACGACTACCTTTACTGCCTTACAGATTTTAAATTTACGGATTGCCCACTGGACTTGTTTTTGGACCTCTGACTCCCTCTGTTTGACCCACGCTTCGTCTCTCAAACCTCGACCCTAAATTACCCCACTATTCACAGCATTAAACCCTCTCTCTGCGCCGGCTCTCCCTCCGGTTACGGTGACATCACCTCTTCCAACGCCGTCAGGTGGCTTTCTCACCACCTGCCTGTGAATACTCTTCCTGCAGCTGGATCCTGACTCCTACCAGCTGCTGCAAATCAATAAATTTGTTTTCTTTGTTTTTACACTCTTGTTGTCTGGCTGAATTTTGAATCCAAAAACCTTGATTCCTGACACTTGTGAAACATTATTCATTAGCTTATAACATTCAAAAATAAATTGTATATATTTGCTTTTTGGTGTCTTTAAGGTTGAGACAAGTTCTGGAAACACAATGACCAGATGAAAAACAAGTTTTTGGCCTATCTTAATCTAAAAGTTTAAAATGTATTTATCCACGATGTTTAAATTTGATTTCCTTCAGTTTCATTAATAAAATGCTTAAAATAATTATTTTAAATGTTGTTGGGTTTTTTTCAATTAGGGATATTGGGGGCCGGATGGAGATTGTTCAAGGATCGCTTTTGGCTCTTGGGCCGTATATAGCCCTTGTGTGCTATAACAGATAGGTCAAAGTTGGTATCAGGTATCTGTCTTGCTCACTGTAGCTCCCACACCTGTATGTGCTAAAAGCTACAGTATGCATATATACAAAGAATACTGGGACATAATTTCTAATCTTTATGATCTTGTGGATTTGCAGAGTAAAAAGAGCTATTAGTGTTTTAGTGTTATTCTAAAAAGGTTGACTGTACTAGTACTGACTGCATGTGACATTTATTTCAGAATAGTTCACATAACGTAACTGTTTTGTAGCATTCAATATGGCAGAGAAGCAGGTATTTTCAGTCCAACATAACAACTTTAATTATTCCTTGTTCCCTGCTTAGAGCCTGAAATGACTTAATTTCATCTAATCCTAGCAGAGATTTCCTCAAAATCTGTTTGATAAAAGCAATTAGTACCAGTTAAAACACCAGCTCCAACCAAACTGAAGTTCAAAGTGTAGTCTGAGTGTGTTCTCTGCTAACACAACCTCAAGTAATCCTGAAATCCCTCTCTGGAGAAGCAGGTCAAACATATGCTAAGTGATGAATCATGTATTGGCCTCCAGTGGACTCACTGGTTCTCAGGAGTTAAGAGTGTGGAAGAAATCAAACTAAGTATTTCTAATTCTGCCTCAGCCAGAAGCACAACACACAACACTGAACAAAAATAACATAAAAATGACTAAAAGTGCTGGCATCACTTGAAGCAATACATACTGCCCCAACCATTGATTGTGATGTTTTAGACTAATCTAATCTTATGTTGAGAAATGACAAGACCATATTGCAATATCGTTAGTTCTTGTACATGTGTTGTGGCTCTCAGCTACAACCACATAGCATTTTAGCTCAATATTTGTAAAATATACTGAGTTAGATACATTTTTATGTTTGCTAATATCAGTTAGCTGTGACAACCATTTTAGTTGGATTGACTCCAAAGGTTACTCAGTTGTAGACGCACATCCAAATATTACTCTGAAAGTCTGATTAAAAATCTGTCATTTCAAAACTGCATTATAGCCTTTTTCTTTTTCTAAAGTCAACTGAATGTGGTGATCATCTTAAATTGGATTGGTTTCAAAAATGATTTAGTTGTAGATGTACAGTCAAAGATTAGATCCTGAAAGTTTGATTAAAATCCATCTAGTGGTTCATGAGATAATTCAGGAACAGACAAAGTTCACTTACAGTAGACCTGTTAATACTCAATATATGGGTTGAGGATCAGGCCCAGATACTACCACACCATATTTTAACTCAATATTTGTGAAATTGACTGACTTTAGCTGTGGCAGCCATCTTGAATCAAGTTTAAGTCCAAAAGTACATCCGTTGTGGTAAACAATATATTGTGTATTGTGATAAAGCCACAAAATATTGTGATAACAGTATAATATTGCCACAACTTAAATCTGGTAGCATGATACATGTAAATCTACCAGCTTTATCCAACATAACCAACACACCTTAAAATATAACCTAAAAACCACAGAACCAAGAACTTAAATCTGTACTTACGCTCAGCGATGACCAGCGGCGGGTAGAACAAAAAGTATCCCACCAACTCTGCAGTCAGCTGGTTGAGGAGTCCGCTGGAGATCGTCCCGTTAAGAACTGCTTCTTGGTTTTTCACCACGTAAACAAGAGAAACGGAAGGGGAGCCAGGCTCCTGGGAGATGCTCTGGATCTGAGAAAAAACACATCGAGTTCAAGCAAATACAGCGATCCATGCCACAAGCGGGCAGCTATTGCCAGACGCAGAATTTAAACATTCCTATGAAAATATCTAAGGCCATGATACCAAATGTCCAAGATACACATTAAGAACGCACAACAGAGCTTCAGAAACCAACAAGTTTTATTCTCCATATACGGTAATAACTCCAAAAGTAATGTAATTCAGTCACAGCGGTAAAGTGGATGATGATAGGAGATACTAGAAATTCCCATCCCATTTCTCTGTGAGTGTTAATATTTCACAGGATGAATTATGAATGGATCTGACAGTATATGTGTGGCTGCTTGTTGAGACCTACTTTTGGATCGTGAGTGCATGCATAAAATGTATCCTGCAGTCATAAGAGTATCTTGACTGGAGGAGATGAAGAGATACAAAGGAAGAAGTATAAAGCATATGAACACATGACTTAAGATGAACGTCATCTTATGTCAAGATATGTGCATTGTGTGCAGACTCATGTGATGTTACTAGTTGTCTTGGTTAGAGTTCATGTGTGAATGACTCTCAGCTACTACCACATCATATTTTAGATAAATATCTGTAAAACGATCCAAATTAGAGCTACTTTTGTTTTGGATAATGCCAATTAGCTGTGATAGCCATTTTGAATTAGGTTAACTAAAAGTTAATCAGTTGTAGATGTACATCAAATGACTATTTCCTGTGAGTTTTAATAAAAACTGTCCAATGGGTTGTTAGATATTTTGCCAACAAACAGAGTTTACTCCAATAGTTAATGGTTCAATTTTAAACAAAAACATCAAAATCCATGCTCAATAATCCAAGTAAAAAATCTAACAAATTTAAGTCAGGTCCTCTGGACGGTTTCTTTTCTTGTTGAAACATTTTGTCCTTCATCCAAAGGACTTCATCAGTCCAAGGAGCCGCAACGATTTAGTCCCTTTCTCACATAGTAGGCCAACCAGTTTGATGGTGATAAGATAGTTTCTGGAGTCTGCCCTCTCCCCCGTCGACTCCACTGAGGCAGCCATAGCCAAATTATTGTGATTATTGGATTGATGAACCAGATTATTGAGCATGAACTTTGATGTTTGGAACCACTTTGACTATGGCTGCCTCAGAGGAGTCGACAGGGGAGAGGGCGGACTCCAGAAACTATCTTATCACCATCAAACTGGTTGGCCTACTATGTGAGAAAGGGACTAAATTGTTGCGGCTCCTTGGACTGATGAAATAAAACTGGTTGGCCCACCATTCAGTTCAGTTCAATTCAGTTAAAAAATACTTTATTAATCCCAAAGAGAAATTAAATGTTTTTGTAGCTCATCATGCTGGTTTCGTTAAGAGTTGATATATGCTTGAGAGATATGCTGATGGCTGTGGGCAGGAAGGATCTCCCACAGCAGTCCGTCCCACAGAAGTCCGTCCCGCAGCGGATCTGAAGAAACTGGCTGCAGATACCGATCCGTCCACCCAGACCCAGCGGGCCTCTAGGTCCTTCTGGGCAGCAGTACCACCTGAATGTTGGCAGAACTCCCTGAGCGATGGCTACTCCTCTCAGCAGCTTGTTGAGCTCCTCATCATTACAGATGTAGATCATCAGCTGCAGATGTCGGGGGATGATCCTGATCTTCTTGTTGTCACAAGCAACGTTTCCTGCATTTCCAAAGATCTCAGCAGTCAGTCACTCTAGCACCTCTGCCAGGTAGATGGGGAGGCATCATCAGCACCTCTTTTACAACTCTCTGCTTACAGCTGCTCCCGGTTGTAAAAAAAAAAAAAACATTGTTGCCATGGTTACGCTTCATAACAAATGTCCAAAAGTAAAAACGTTTCAGTAAAAACCCTTCCAGCTGCACAGTATCCAATACCAGAGGAAGTAATCATCCAAAAAAGTGATTTACCTCCAGAAAAAAGATGAAATAAAGTTTTCAAAAGCAATACCCCAGAATTAAAGAAACAGCTACTCCAACATGCAGCCACCTTGAGCGGCGCAATTCTAGAACATTAAAATCTATGTGAGTAAACCACTTATGGGACTGAGTTTGTTGTGGCTCCTTGAACTGATGAAGTCCTTTGGATGAAGGACGAAACATCCATCCATTATCTTTTACCCGTTTTTCCATTTTGGGTTGCGGGGGTCGCTGGTGCCCATGTCCAGCCATCACTGTGCAAGAGGTGGGGTACACCTTGGACAGGTCGCAAGTCCATCACAGGGCCAAGGACGAAACATTTCAACAAAAAAAGAAACCATCCAGAGGACCTGACTTAACTTTGTTGGATTTAAATTAAGACTTTGTGCAATCTATTTGCCCTCATAATTTGTGTTGGGGATTGGTCTCAGCCACTGCCACACCAAATTTTGTGTCAATATCTATAAAACTGATTGAATTATAAACAGTTTTGTGTTTGCTAAAGTTGATAAGCTGTGTTAGTCTGCTGCAGCGGTACATCCAGTGACTATGATCTGTTTCTTTAAATTTATCCAGTGGTTCATGAGATATTTTGACACACACAGACACGCCTTTCATCGTTTGACGGTGGACAATAATTATGAAAATAAATTAACAGATTAATTATCTATAAATATAGGCAATGTGACTCATCAGCTAGCTTAAACCTGCCTGACTTAGATTTTATGACGCATGAAGGATGATCTTTTGTTGTATGATGAATAAGCCACTTTGGTGTCACGAGTTGCCACTGGGTAACACACAGTAAGACATTTGCATCAAGAAACAGTACTGCAGTATGAAAGAGTCTGAACTGGTAGGAGGTTGGAAATCCGCCTGGAGATGCATTATAAGCCTGATTAGCATGCTGCATCTAGCCTATTTGATGTTTGTAGTAAAGAATGTTCTGGTACCTCCACGTTGAGTCGGTTGTAGGTCTCCAGAACTTTATCCTGAGCCTCTTCAAATGCGTTCTCCAGCCGCTGCTCCATCATCTGGACAAAACTGCAGGAGTAGATGTTGTCTGTCGGCCCAACAAATCTCAGCACTGGAAATCAGGCATGAAAGGGGAAAAAAAAACGTGAATTATTGATACCGTCTGAGACGCTGGAGAGCTTTAAGACATTACATCTAAAACAAAGAGGATATTTTTGCTTTTGATGAGTAAGACTTTTTTTAAAGATTAAATTCACTTTATATTTGTTCCCATTGTTCATTATTATTACATAACATACAGCGGAATAAATAAAGACTATGAAGTGCACTATAATGTTTTATATAGTAAAGTATCTACATAAACATGACTGTATTCAACTCTCTTATTGAAAAATTACTTTTACTCAGTTTATTTCATTAAGTTTACTAAAGTGATAAAATAATCTACTTAATTTTAACTATAAATGTTCAAATGGTTCATTTAGCTTTTCTCAACTGACTAAATTTTATTATTAAAATAAATAAATGAAGTGGAGTGAGATGTGTTATCATCGAATGTACACACAACAAAATTTTGCCTCTGCATTAAACCCCTCACACACATGAGATAAACGCAAGCGGAGCAGCGGGCGGAGCAGCGGGCGGAGCAGCGGGCGGAGCAGCGGGCGGAGCAGCGGGCGGAGCAGCGGGCGGAGCAGCGGGCACCAATGTAAGCACCCAGGGAGCAGTTAGGGAATAGGTGCCTTGCTCAAGGACGCCACAACACATGGGCATGGAGGGGAGTCAAACCTGTAACTTTCTAGTCTTAAGACGACTATTCTTCCACTGCACCACAGTCAACCCATATAATATGTCATCATTAGCATATCTTTAAAAATTATTGGTGTAAACCAAAAGAATAACAAGAGTACCACATACAACACACTACACCCCTGAGGACAAACTATTATTCAGCAATCTATAGCAATGGGCCGGACAAGCAAAGACCGTGTATGACCTTTGACCTTGATTTATGATCGTGACCTGGGAGCTGAGCTGATAAAAAATATTTAGCTACACGGTGTCTAGTGGTGGTACAAATGTGTATGAAGTTTAGTTTAATTATCTTCAGAGGATGAGAAGTTATGGTCCAAACTAGCAAAGACCTTGTATAACATTTGACCTTGATTTGTGATCTTGACCTTGAAGCTGGGTTGATGAAAGGTGTATGTGACACTCCGTCTAGTGATGATGATGCATAACTGCATGATGATTCGGTAAATAATCTTGAGTTGATCAGAAGTTCTGGGCAGGACAAAATAAAGTGCATGAATGTTCCTTAACAGGTGTATATAACATCTTTAAAGAAATGCACATCGCCCGCCACCGTGTGTGCCAAAGTTTGAAACAAAGATGTGATCTGTTGCCCACAGCACCTCAGTGGTTTTTCACATTTTCTACAGTTTGAAAATGTTTAATTTAATGCAGTCTGTTGCTTTATTTCAAATGTTTTTAAACAAATTGTCTTTTCGGCATCATTCATTTCCTGAATCTGTACTGAAGTGGAAGACAACCGAACTGAATTAGAATGAACAGAATGAGCACAGCCAGTAAGTTTTGGATTAAACCACATATGAACCAATGCATCTTTAGGGACAGAAAACAAACGTGATCCAATATCAGGCCTAAAATGTTGACACACTACAGTTGACGTACTCTGAAACTACAACAACCCACTTCACGGTGCTGAATCTGGAGTCCTGTATGTTTGCGTTCATGAACAGTAGAAGGTGGTCTCTGTGAAAAATAACCTAACCAGTGGTGCAGAGGAAGAGGATTATTGCCTCTTCTCAAATGAGAACAGGAAAAACTGAGTAGCTGTCGATCAGCTGATCAGCAGGGGAGGTGCAGCCCGGGGTAAACAATACTGAGTCCATCAGCAGATTACGGAGGATGTTATTAAAGTCTCCATCCCTCTACCACAGCTGCCCTCTATTCTTTTAACTCTTTGCTTGAAAGAATCATAAAAAGGGACAGCAACAGTAAAGTTGGACCAGTATTCTGACCTAAATCCGAACACCGCGGTGCCGATGAGTGCAGCTCAAGGACTGGTGGTTTAGGCAGAATCACTTTGCAGGAACAAACACTGCTGATCCAGATGTTAATCTCGTGCACATTGTGCCACAAACTGGTGAATGCCTTTAGGGTTAATGAGCTGAAGATCACAGTGATGGATTTGTGCTGGTGCTGCTGCACATCCAGCTGCACGCTAACGCAGGAGCTTTTATTGCTTCACTTCACACCATGAAATATGTTGTTTAGTCAAAAGCCAGTTCAGATGGTGCTGAAGACAAGATGTTCTTTTTGGTTTTGATTAAGCATTGATTTACTGTAAAATCTAAAGGTTCTTAGATGAAATGCACAGTGATGAACCCCACACAATATAGTGTCGTTGTAAATACGCCAATGTACTCATCGCTAAGGCATTTAACAAGTGAATGTTTGTAGTTTTCTTAATGAGTGTTTTTCTGGACTTGAATGAACAGGGAATCCCAGTAAACCTTAATGTTTTTGGTGCAAGATATTCAGGTGGGTAGGAGTGACACTGTAGAAGAGGAGAGGTAGATACAAAATAAATACAACACAGTGAACTCCTGACTATGTTTGTATTTGTTGGGCTTTTTGCAGAAAGCACTGTAGGAGCATCAACTTCCTGCATGTAAATGATCGAGCAGTGGCTAAATTCTCTAAATATGTTTGCTTACAAAAAAAAGTGAAGACAAAAAGAACTTAAAGTAATGTTAATTATTCCAGTCTGAGATTGCATCCTTTCATTAACGATCTGTTAATTGCAGTCATTTTCCTTCCCTCGCTCCAACAAAACAAAGTCTTAATCTGTGTGTTCTGAAATGTTTAAGAGGCAGGCTAAGTGAATGGACCGATCTGCCTTGGCTCTACAATCATGGCAGCGTGAACGGGACTCAGGATATCAAAGAGGAGTCGCAGGGAAGCCGACATGTAATCAGAATTTTCTAATTTCGTCTCTGCTCCTCTCCTCCCTCATGTGTCTCCCCTTTTTGTACTCTCAGTAGATTCGTCTTTCACTCCCTGCTCATATTTTCACCCTGCAACCAGGAAGACTCGGCTGAGAAATTAAATTAAACATTAAACAAAGAAAACCCTTGCATTTCCTGCTAAAATGTAGAAGGAATGTTGAACGCCGTATGATGGCTGAAATATGAAAAATCGGAAAACTGAACCGTTAAAGCAAGCGGAACAGTAGCTAAAATATCAAAATTGCAGAAGAGCAGCAAAATGCTTAAACAAACAAAGCAGTAGCTAAAAGATCAAACAAGTAAGACAGTAGCAAAAAGATCAAATCAGTATAAAAGCAGCAAAAAGCTAAACAATAGCCAAAAGTTAAAACCAGTGAAACAATAGAAAACAGCAGAAACAGTAGAACAGTAAAAAAAAAGTAGCTAAAATTAGGAAAGCAGTAATTACTTTAAAACTCTCAGAACAGTAACTAAGAGCTAAAACAAGAAGGGCTGTAGCTACAAGCAGAAATTAGTAAAGTCATTTCTAAAATCTAAAACCAGCAGAGCAGCAGCTAAAGCTAAAACGAGCTAAAATGTAGTTAATAGCTTTATCCATTCAACCTTTATTTACACAGGTTAATTCCAATTGAGCCTCGAGGACTCATTTACATGAGAGACCTGTCAAAAATAGCAAAACTGTATCTAAGCTCAAAACTAGCAAAACCATCACACAAAGAGATAGAATTAACCAAACAAGTGTTAAAAGCTAAAATGAGCAAAACAGCAACTAAAAATAATTAGCTAAACTCTAAGTAAAAGCTAAAATCGGCTAAATCATAGCTAAAAGTTAAAATTGGTAAAATGGTAGCTAAAGGCTAAACTGTAGAAGTAATGTGATAGCAACAAAACAACAACAGTGATTCAACATTCACAGTTTTACCTGTTTTGAGTTGCAGATGAAACTTTGGCGTGGGCATCCAGGACCCCACCGGAACCAGAACTGCCTTAACCAGCGGGGTGTGCTGCCTGATGTCAGACAGCAGCTTGTCAAAGCCGTAAACAGTCAGCACTTCCACAACCAGAGAGGAAACGTAGACCGTTTTCCCGCTGGTCACGTAGTAGCCCAGAGTCACGTTGTGAGGGCTGCAGTCGTCTCGCTCCACCTGAGACAAAGACGGAAAGACTTCATTTGGCTCTGAGTCAAACCAAGCAGAGTTTAACTTTTTAAAAACACATTGGATGCCTGTTTTTCTGGAGTTTGGCTTCTCGTATCAAAGAAGAACTGGTGTTACCAGGTGAAACAAGCTGAAAAGATGTAGACGAGATTTCAAACTTCTTATTCTGAACCCAGCACGTTGGCTTTGATCTCTGGGTTTTAAAGACATATGCATCAGAATATAAATATTTATGATGGCTGGTTTCTTCTCAGATCTGCCAAAGGCAACGGTTTTAGCTCGGGCCTTGAATGGTTCGATTTCTGTCAGTGTGCTGGAACAAAACACACAAACAACATCTGCGGTGAGTCAAAGGCTGTATTTCTGGAACTTTACACCTCCCACCTTCCTGCAGTCACACTGAGTAGCTGATGTTCTTTTCTGTCCATTTTTTAGTCTCCTCTCTCGCACCCTGAATGTAAACCGGCTGCTCCTGAATTGTGTTTTTTTTATTTTTTTTACAGTCCCTTTCAATAAAACTGTATCTGATTACCTCATGGCCTCCTCTCATCTCCTTTACTGTCTGCGCAGACAAAAATCAAACGAAATGATTTTCTCCCAAACTCGAGGTGTCCTTGGTCTAACAGCTTTCTGTAAAATTCTTCCCTGAGCTTCAGTCCCAGATTTTGATGCAGCTCTTTACTTTTTAATTAATTACGCTCAGAAAGTCGTTCTCACATTCAGCTACCCACCTCTGGGTTTTACATTTCATTAGAAAAAAAGGCTTTTGGAGCTTGCATTTGAAGTCAAATGCAATGAGAATTCAATTAAATTTTCACTATATCCTTCAGATGTTTTATGAGCTGCAGCGGCATGTGTTTCTGAAGGAGCAACCAAAAGCATCTGCTTTCAGATTGTCCTGAAAACTGAGCCCGTCGTGTTCTGAATTTCTTTGTATCTGATGCTGAATACAGCGGAGCGGTGTGTCACAGTCTGAACATTTCACACTCGCAGCTGCTATTCAACCAATTTATGTGACTTGTTCTAATCAATGGAAACAATAAAACGATTGCACATAGAGCTGTTTGAATAGAGCTATATAAAGAAGAAATCTTATTTTTCAGTCCATTTTTGTGTTTTTAAGGTCACTTGGATGTGTCAGCCATCTTGAATTGGATTGTCTCCAACAGGTAGTGAGTTCCAGATCAAAGAAGAATGATTTTAGTTTCAGTGGTTCATGAGATATGTTGGTAACAAACAGGCAACAACACAAAACTCTTATGGTTCCACTTTTAGCTTTTCAGCAGCAGGCGATAATTAAGCTAATCAGGCTTTACCTGCACAATTTTCTTATAAAAACTTAATTATACAACTTGGAAGATTATCTGCCAATCTTTATTAATAAGTAATTGTGCAACTGCTGATCATTTTTAATAACGTGTTTAAGGGAGTCAGAATCCAGCGAACCTTTTATTTTTTCCAGATTATGTAACAACCTACTTTCCTGACAGCTGAAACATGTTTTTTATTGCATTGATTCATGAGAACCGAGAGAAGAGAAACCCAATCTGCTCTTCATCAAGCTTCAACTCCATTAAAAGCTGAACAACAAACAGAATAATTCTGTCAGCAAAAAAAAATATATATATATATATATATATATATAAAGGAATACAAAAAACAGATTTTCACAAGTTTCAGTTTAAAACACAACTTATCCATCTGATACTCACTGAAAAACAACTAACTTAAGTGTATCTGTTTAAAAAAAATCAACTTTCTCTCAGTTAAAATAATTCCTTTGATTACATTTGTTCAGACTGCCCAACTTTCATGGCGGCAGTCGTCAGTGTAGCTGCCTGTGCCTGCATGCATGTTTGTTTGATTGTTTGTTAGTAAAATATGTCATGAACCACAGGAGGGACTTTATTAAGACTTGCAGAAACTAAACGTTGGATATGCATCTGCAACTAATTAACTTTTGGAGCAAACCCATGTCAAAACAGCAGCCACAGCTAATCAGCCTTGGACAAAACAACAACATTTATAACTTAGATTTACAGATACTGAGTAAAAAGCTGATGTGGTAGTAGCTGAGAGTCGTCCTCAGCACATAATCTGAGAGACAACGCATATTGTGAGATTTTGCAATCAGGTGTAACATCTTCAACAGAGTTAGAAACAACTTTAACTCGAATAGTTACACTTCCATCATGAGATCATCTTAGTTTAAAACTCTGGCACAAAATGAGTCAGGCGATATCCATTCCTTTAATGAAGGCAAAGCCTTTATTTTTTATATATATTGGATCGCATAAATATAAATTAAAAAGATTAAAATAAAAACTACTACATGGTAAATTACTACATTGGCTGGTTTGGTTTCCCTCATTGGAAAGACCTCAGTCCATGCTTCCGTGTGGTTAGCTGCATAACTTGAAAGATAAATGAGGTACTTACGTAAATTGGGTTTATATATGTACATATCTATCTATGTATGTATGGATGGATGGATGGATGGATGGATGGATGGATGGATGGATGGATGGATGGATGGGTA